GGAATAAAGTTGTCGGGGCGGAGGGGGCATTGGGCGGGGCCTCCACTGGGGCGCGGGGGAACGCTGGGGAGGGGGGGCGACGCGACGCGGAATGAAGTGGTCGGGCGGAGGGGGCACTTGGCCGCTGGGGAACGCTGGGGAGGGGGCGGGCGGGGGCTTGGAGGGCTGTGCGGGGTGAGGGCGGCGCGACGACGCCGGAATGCAATGGTCGCGGCGGAGGGGGCGGTGCGACGCCGAAGAGCACTGGGCTGCTGGGAAGGAGGGGGGCGCGGGAGAGGGCGTGAGGGCGGTGCGAGGGAGGGTGAGGGCGGTGCGACGACGCTGGAAGAAGTGGTCGCGGCGGAAAGGGCGGTGCGCTGGGGTGCTGGGTAGAGGGGGGGCGGGGGGGGAGGGCGGTGTGACGGAGAGGGGGGGAGGGCGGTGCGACGGGGCCGAATAAAGTTTGTCGCGGCGGAGGTGCGGTGCGCCGGGCTGTTGGTGATGGCGTGGCGGGAGGGGGGGCGGGGCGACTGGGGGGGGAGGGCGGTGCGACGACGCCGAGAGAAAGTGGTCGCGGCGGAGGGGGCGGTGCGCTGGGCTGCTGGGGAGGGAGGTTGCGGGGGGGTTCGTTTGGGGGGCGGGAGGGGTCGGGGGGGGAGGCGAGGGTGGTGTAGCGGGGGGGGTGAGCGCGGTGCGACGACGCCGAAACAAAGTTGTCGGGGCGGAGGGGGCGGCGCGACGCCGAAATGCACTGGGCTGCTGGGGAGGGGGTGGGGGCGGAGTGTGTGTGAGAGCGGTGCGACGCGGAAAGGTGAGGGTGGTGCAACGACGCCGAAATAAAGTTGTCGCGGCGGAGGGGTCGGTGCGCCGGGCTGCTGGGGAGGGGCAGGCAGGGGGGGGGTTGACGGGGGGGCGGGGCGGGAGGGCTGTGCGACGACGCCGAAATAAAGTGGTCGCGGCGGAGGGGGCGGGTGCGCTGGGCAGCTGGGGAGGGGGCGGTGTGATGTGTGTGTGTGTGTGTTTGTGTGCGTGTGCGTTTTCTTGAGCTGTGCTTGTGTGCGTGTGTGCGTGTGTGCGTTGTGTTGACTGTGTGAAGTGTTGGTGTGTGTTGTGTGTGTGTGTGTGTGTGTGTGTGTGTGTGTGTGTGAGTGTTGTGTGTGTGTGTGTTTGTGTGGTGTTATCGAGAGCGGTGCGTGCAACGGGTCGGGTGATGCGGTGGCGGCGACCCGAAAATAAAGTGTTCGGCGCGGAAGGGGCGGTGCGCTGGGGTGCCTGGGAGGGCATTTATGGGGGGGGGAGGTCTGTGCAACGGGGGGGGCGGCGGTGCGACGACGCCGAAATCATCGTCGCGGACGGAGGTGGGCGGTGGCGCTGGTCTGCTGGGATGGTGCGGGGGGGGCGGGCGCGACGACAAGCAGAATAAATGATCCGCGGCGGAGGTCCCGTGCGCTGGGCTGCTGGGGAGGGGGGTGAGGGCGGTCCGACGGGGCCAAAATAAAGTTGTCGCAGCGGAGGGGGCGGTGCGCTAGGCTGCTGGGGAAGGGGGTGGCGGTGTGTGTGTGTGTGTGTGTGTGTGCGAAAGAGAGGGAGAAAGAGAGAGAGAGAAAGAGAGAAAAAAAAAAAAGCAAGCGGCGCGACGGGGGGGTGAGGGAGGTGCGACGACGCCTAAATGAAGTGGTCGCGACAGAGGGGGCGGTGCGCTGGGCTCAGGGGGTGCGGGCGTTGGGGGGGGAGGGGCGGTACAACGGGTGGAGGGGGGGGGCTGTGCGACGATACGCCGAAGTGGTCGCGCGGAGGGGGCTGCGCTGGGCTGCCTGGGAGGGGCGGGGGGGGGTTGGGATGGCGGTGCGAACACAGGGGGGTGGGCGGTGCGACGACGCCGAAATCAAGTGGTCGCGGCGGAGGCCGCTGTGCGCTGGGCTGCTGGGGAGGGGGTTGCCGGGGGGGGCCGGGGCGGGCGGGGTGTAGGGGCGGTGCGACGGGGCCGAAATAAAGCGGTCGCGGCGGAGGGGACGGCGCGCTGGGCTGCTGGGAAAGGGAGGAGCGGGGCGGTGAGGGCGGTGCGACGGGGGCAGTGAGGGCGGTGCGACGACGCCTGAATAAAATGGTCGCGGCGGAGGTGGCGATGCGCCGGGCTGCTGGGGAGGGTGGGCGGGGGGGGGAGGGCGGTGCGACGGAGGGGATGGGGGGGGCGGTGCGACGACGCCGAAATACAGTGGTCGCGGCGGAGGTGGCGGTGCGCTGGGCTGCTGGAGGGGCGGGCGCGGGGGGGGGGTGAGGGCGGTGCGACGGGGGTGGGAGGTGCGACGACGTCAAAATAGTCTGGTCGCGGCGTAGGGGGCGGTGCGCTGGGCTGCTGGGGAGGGGGGTGGCAGAGCAGGGCGGGTCGGTCAACGAGTCAACGCTGCTTGACAACGCTGGGGTGAGGGCGGTGCGACGATGCCGAAATTAAGTGTTCAGAGCTCTAGACACTCTGTGCTAAATGATATCGCCAGCGCCCATTCCCTCCCTGGCCTGGCGCGCAGCTCCCCGGGGACGCCGTCATAGCCACGAGCCTTGTCGCAAAGAAAATATTAGGAGGTGGAGGAGGTGGAGGAGGAACAGCAGCAGGAGACCCACATCAGCTGATGGTGCCACCACATTAAGCATGCATCAAACATCGATAACAAACCAGTTAGCCATCATCCGAGGGATCGGCCTCCTCGCGATTTCTCCTGTCAAGGGCCCGCTGCCAAAGCGCGCCAACCTGGGCGCGAGAGGAGAGCCTGAAAAGGGCAGGGCCTCGGATGAGGTCGGCAGCGGCCCGGTCAACAGCAGGGTCCTGTCCAAGCCCGGGCACAATTCCGAGGCTTACCTTCGAGGCCGGGAAGGCGCGAGAATCGTCGGAGAGCGAGCCCGCCGTTCCGACTCGACACCCCTTGTGGGACGAGACAGAGGGGCAGAAGGAGGAGGGGGAGGAGAAGGAGGAGGACCAGCGTAAACCCAATACGCATCAACGATGTTGCAATACACCCTCCCTCCAAGTTCCCTTTTCACAGGTCCCTACAAGAATGCATCTCCAGTGCGGGAGGTGCCCCACTGAAAGACAGGCTGAGAATTCTTCATCGCGCCGAAGCAACATTTCCAGGACTCCGACGCTACGAATCGACGTGATTGTTGCGTCCTGACAACGATGAAGCGCTCCAGAACGCCATTCCTGGGACTTCAACACCGCGGATCTTCGTGATCGCTGCGTGCTGACAACCCTGCATCTGCCAGAGCACCATGTCTAGGATTTCAGCCCTGCGACCCCATACTATTGCTGTACACCTCGAAGACCATGTGCGCGGCGCTGAGACGAGACGTACAGGTCGAATAAGAATCGCGCGTCCATCGTTGTCGCTGATGTAGAATTCCACAACGGATGTGCGCGGTGCTGGAGCGAAAGCCTCAGTTTGAACACGGCCCGCTCGCCATTCTTGAATCTGTTGTGAGCTTTCAGCACGGATGTGCGCCGTGCGAGGGCGAGATCCACATTTGGAAATGGCCCGCTCTGCATCCTTTTGAAGTTGTTGCGAATTTTAAGGCGAACGTCTGCGGCGCGAAGGCGAGACCCACCGCTTGAACATGATTCGCCCTCCATCCTTGAACCTGCTGCAACTGCAAAGCTTCAGACCATAGACGGCGAGGGTGCCTGAGGGGAAAAAATGCCAGCCCGCCCTGCCGACACGTCTTGCCGGCACGTCTCGGGGTGCAACTGGGGGAATCCTACCGACACGTCTTGGGGTGCGACAGGGAGAAGCTGTCTATGAGGAACAGGGGTGGGGGAGGAGGAGAAAGATCAGGAGGAGGAGGAGAAGGAGAAGGAGAAGGAGGAGAAGGCGCTTCTGGGAGGGCATTTGTGGACTCTCTCGGGAGTCTCTCGCTGTCTTCTTGGATTGTCTCGGGGCCGTCCTGGGCCGTCTTGGGCCGTCCTGTTGAGGGTCTTGGGGGACCCTCTTGGAAGCCTCTCGGAGCCTCCTTGAGCAGTCTTGGGCCATCCTCTGTACCTGAGGGTTTCTTCGGCAATCTTGGAGCCTTCGTGGGGCTCTTTGGAGAGCTTCGTTGACCGTCATGGGGTTTTCTTGGAGGCAGATTAGGCCGTCTTGGGCTTCTGGAACTCTGACAAGGCGAGAATTCGAAAAGCCGTCCAAACCCGATGGGACATTTGTGAATGTTGATTTCTGGACGTCTCCTTGAAGGTTCTCTTGGGGCGTCGGGGGGGGGTCTCTTTGACCGCCTTGATGCCATCTTGGGGCGTCTTGGGACTTTCCTTGAGCTGTCTTGGACTTTCGAAGCCCTCTTCGGAGCCTGCTGCGGCCGCTTGCGAGGTCTGGAGTCCTGGGGCAACCTGATGCGGCCAGGAATTTAGCGGGACCCCCGTCCCCGGGTGGCTGCTCAGGACGCTGCGGGTCTGCCAGTAGGCAGTCAAGAAGAGACAGGCCTGAAGAGGACAGGAGACATGACAGGAGAGGCAAGAGACAATATAAAAGGTAACATGAAAACCAGAGTACAACAGTGCAGCATACACCGTCACAGCCTGGCGCGCGGAGTGCCGGGGGATTGCTATCTGCGCATCTACGGCATACACGCATGCATGTCTGTGCTCATGGGTGCATATGCACGGGGCCTCAATGCGCGGAAGGGTACCGTGAACTCCATGATGGAACCTGTGTGGCGCAACCAGTGCGTCGCCAGGAAGTGCACGGGAGCGGCGACGGCCAGGAGGGGGAACAAGGCACATACAGAAACACTCGATCGTCGATTCCCCGGAAGGTCTGGGAGAATATGGGCAGTAGGGGGGGGAACCCAGACCCCCGACGTCATGATTTTTTCATTACGTCGACCCCCAGAGGTCCCGACCCTTTCCCCATGACCGGTTTTTCATCCGGAATCGTTTTTTGACGCTCCCGAGGCCCGGTGAGGGCCCCTGGAGGCCGAAAATTAGGAAAAACCTCCCGTCATGATTTAATCGCTTCGCTCATTCCGCCGGCCCATACAGTCTCATGTCTGCCGTTTGCCCGAGGGCCTGGTGTCAATGCGGCGCTTTGGGGGTTCCTGGGGCCGCTTGGGGGACTCCTGGGGCGCTCGGGGGGGCATTTGGGGGGCCTCCTGGGGCCGCTTGGGGGACTCTTGGGGGCCTCCTGAGGGCCCCGTGGGGGCCTCTTGGGGCCTCTTAGGGGCCTCGTAGGGGCTTCTTAGGGCCGAGGGCTCGAAATGTTGTTTCGTGTTCCCTCTCTGGGGCCCCTTTGGGGGCGTTCTTGGGGCCCTCTTGGACCGTTTTGGAGGCTTCTTGGGCCGTCTTCGAGCCCTCTTGGGCCATCTTGGGGCCCTCTTGGGTGCCTCTTGGGCCCTCTTGGGGCGATCTTGGGGGCCTCTTGGGCCGTCTTGGGGCGTCGGGAAGCCGAAAAGGTGGAAGCTCCAAAATCTCTCAAAAACCTATGGAAAAACAATGATTTTTGCCTCCGGGGGCCCTATTGGGAGTGCTCTTGGAGGCCTCTTGGGGCGTCTGGGGGCTATCTTGGGCGTCTTGGAGCGATCTTGTGGCATGTCGGACCCCTCGTGTACCATCTTGGGGGCCTCTTGGGGGCCTCTTGGCCTTTCTTGGGGCTCTCGGGGACGTCTCGGAGCCCTGTTGGTGCGCTCATGGAGCGCTCGGGGGGACCCGGCCGGGACCCGGCCGGGACCCGGCCGGGACCGGCCGGGACCTGGTCGGGGTACTTTTCGTCCGGGGACCCCCAGGGGCCGCCCCGCGCGCGCGAACTAGAAAATTGTTAACCAGTTACCGGAGATCTTAGCACGCATCTGGCCCGTTGGGCCGGCGAATTTTTTCATTACTCGAGGGGGTCTGGGAAGAGTAAAACCCCGAACCTGTGGGGAAGTGCGGACGCTCCCCGCGCGAGCACCTCGAGGAGAGCAGCCCGGTGCGACGGGGCGGCGACGCGGCGGCGACGGGGCGAGCCCACCGCGACGCCGCGGGAGCACGCCCGGGGAGAGCCCGGCCGCCCAGGCAGCCCCACGGGGCGGCGTCGAGGCGGCGCGGGGCGCGCACCGCGAGGCATGCTGGCTGGGTAGTCGAAGGCCAGACTGTCAGATTGGATAGGGCCCTAAGGATTTGGGGTATTCGCCAGACTGGATTCGCGCTGGCTCCCTCGCCAGACTGCCCCCGTTTGCCGGATTGGGCCTGCCAGATTGGCGCCAGATTGGCTTCGACTACCCAGCGAGGCATGCTGGAGCCAGCCAGCCAGCGCACGGGGCGGCGATGAGTCAGGAGGGGAAGAAACACACAGACACAATTGATCTCGGGTCGGGCGAAAGGGGGGGATTGGGAAAGGGGGGGTACGAAATTTGCTGCATGCAGCTGGTTTCGGCCTCACCGAGGGGCCCATTCCTCGATACATGGCCGCCTCCGGCGCCGGGAGGCGCGGGGAAAATCAGCTACGCGAGCTGATTCTCAACCCCCCCTTTGCTATCCCTCCTTTCGCCCGACCTGAGCACCGCGAGGCATGCTGGAGAAGCCAGCCAGCGCACGGGGCGGCGATGAGTCAGGAGGGGAAGAAGCACACAGACACAACTGGTCGTCGAGCCCCCAGAATACACATATCTATATACATATATACATATATACATACATGTGTATTTATATATATATATATCTATATATCTATCTATCTATCTATCTATCTATCTATCTATCTATCTATCTATCTATCTATCTATATATCTATATATCTATCTATCTATCTATCTATCTATCTATCTATCTATCTATCTATCTATCTATATATTATGGGCAACTATGGGAGGTGGAGGGGAAGAGAGGAAGCCAGAGAAGATGGGAAACTATGGGGGATCCTGTTGTCTGCGTGTACTTGTTTGTGTGTCCCAGGGCCCCTTCAATGAGGCGGCCACGGGGCGGCGGCGGGGTGCCCACCGCGGGAAGACCTGGGGAGCCCGCCCAATCATTCAGGGGGGGGGGCACGGAAGAGAATGAACCGTTCAGTGCAGGCACCGCCTGGGGAAAAGCACCCGCTGGATAACAGTCGGCCCGGATGAGTAGGTCGACCCCGCCAAGTCAAGGGTACCCTTGTGTCCTGTGTCTCGCGACCCGTGCCTCCTGCATTCCTGCGGCAATGTGGCCCCCCGGAAGGGTCTTTTGTCCTCTCGCGTGTGCTGTCCAGTGAAGTCCGACTGTATCATGGTCCTGTTCGGATGTCTGCAGACAGCAGACGTTCGATGTTTTGCCAGGTGCTGGCGGGTGAGGGGCAAGGGGGACGCGGCTTTCCCTTTGAGATCTCCCAATTCGACCACCCTGGCAGTCGACCTGCTCTTCTGCTAGCACTGGGGTCTCAGTCGGCCAACTCCGAAGGGACGAAAGCGGCGTCCACCCACCCTTGCCTCGGCCCCAATGGCCCATGGAACTGACCCACTGATTTGTCAGCTGCCACCCCGATCTTGCAGCGAGCCGAGGAAGACGGCTGGCCTACGGAACATGGGGAACACATGCTTCATGAACAGTTCCCTGCAGTGCGTGTCCCACATCCCCCCGGTGCGGGAGTACTTTCTGAGCGGCGTCTACAGGGCCCCCCTGCAGAGACTTCCTGGGCAGGAGCCCGAGAAGGACAAAGGGAGGCTGGCGACGGGCTTCGCGGAGCTATTGTCGCGCTTGTGGGCGCCGGGCGAGAAGGCGTTCGAGCCGAGGCCAGCGATGTCCCTGCCCTGCCAGGGGCTGAGGGGCCAAGGCAGTCATACAGATTCTGGCCAGGCCAAGCAGCAGGCAATACAGACTACTAAAGTTGTTTCGCATCGGGCCCCGTGGGCCGTCTGGCGCAAGCTGGCTTCGCGCGTCGCTGCCACCGGGAAAGACATCGCAGGGTTTCCACTCGGCGGCTCTGGGTGTACCCACCGAGGCTTGCTTGATGATTTGCTGTAGTTGCTCTGGCCTGAGGCGGCCCCAGTGCCTCATGGCCCCTCATGGACCATTCGGGGGACGGAGTTGCTTCGGTTGCCAGTGGTCCTCGGGGGCTTCGTAATCTCCTTGCCCCGTTGCAGGTACTGGGGTGGATTTCGAAGCGGAAGTTGCCGTGGCCCGTGGTGGCCCCCTTGCTCCACAATTCCTCACTGCGTCGCTCGGGGCTTTGGCGTTCAGGGCTCACCGAAGCTGCCACGGCACGCACGTGGGTGGCCCTTGCGACCCGTGGGCCGCCAGGGTGAGTTCCGAGGTGTTGCCTGGGCTGCTGCAGCCAGTCGCGGCCAAGCTGCCTCGTCGGCTCGCGTGGCCCAGGTGGGGTCTGGCTGATCGCTTCTGGCTGCCCGGCTCTCATGGCCATCGTGGGGCGAGGCAGTTCAAGTCCCTTGTGGAGCAGTTCGCGGAGCGCTTCGGCGACCGCAGGCAGCACGACTCGATGGAGCTCGTGGGCGAATCACGTAACCGTGTCCGCGGCCTCGCGGACGGGCCCCCTGGGCCGCGAGCCCGCGGACTCGGGGCGCCCGATGCCCCGCGCGGAGCGTCTCCGTGCGGCTGTGTATCCGTGGGATGGCGCCCCAGGAGCCAGACCGCGAGGGCGTGGATATGGATACGTTCGCCGCTCGAGAGGAGTTCATCGAGTTCCTCATCGACGGGTTGAAGGAGGATTGCAACCACGTCAAGGGCAAGAAACCGTACGTCGAGAGGCAGGACGCCAATGGGCGGCCTGACGTCGTCGTGGCCATGGAGGCGAGCAACGGCTTCTTGTTGCGGAATGACAGCGAGGTATTCGGCAGCAAGTCACGTGAGCCATGCGTGCCCTCGCAATTCCGTCTTTAGGACGCAGTAGCGTGCGCAAGCGTCGGGTAGTCGATGAGAACGCGCAGATGTAGCATCGACTAGCGTCGGTTAGCGTTGATTCGCGAGAGCCAGCAAGATGGCATGGGATGCTCCCGTGGACTGCAACCGAAAGGTAGATGACCTATTTGTTGGTTTCCTGAAGACTGTCACCACGTGCCCGGAGCGCAGCTGCCGCCACGAATCGGTGGTGTTCGAGCCCTTCCTGTCGGTGAAGGTCCCCCTCGCGAGCCCGAGCGACCCTGGGGAGGTAATTTTCTATGTGACAGTGGTGCCGCTTGCATCGCGGGGTGCGCCGTTGGGCAGGCAGCAGGTGACCATAGCAAAGCTCTCGAGCGTTGGAAACCTCGTGGAGGAAGCCGCCAAGGATGCCCACCTGCGGCCCCTGCATTGCGCCTTGCTGAAGCTCTGTTCAGGGCGAGACAAGCTGGACGACACCTACAGGACGCTTGTGAAGCCCGATTATAGCGAGAGAGTGGACGAGGTGCTGAAGCCCGCGGACGTGCTCTTCTTGTACGAGCTCGAGGACCCCAGCGCCCTCAGGCTGCTGGAGAAGCGGCGGTGGGGCTCTGAGAACCTGCCACGCAGGGACGACATAGTGGTTGTCACGACCGACTTCTATTCCAACAGCAACAGTAAGACCAAGCTGCTCCTCCGAGAGGGCACGGTGGGTCAGGTCCGCCGGATAGACCACGACGGCGACGCACAGATCAAGTTCGACGGCATTGAAGTCAGGCAGTGGGTTCTGCAGAGCAATTTCGACAAGCTGTGGGTCGACTTGAGCATTGATTGGGACGAGCGGAGGCGCACGGCTGCGAACGAGGAGTTGACTCTGGCGGAGCTGATCGATCCTGACGACTCGGTCCTGTCAACTCCCCCAGACACGTTGGAGGAGGCGCTGACCCAGTGGAGGGAGAGCATGCTGCCGATAGACGACGTTCCTAGCACCTAGCAGCCTAGCATTTCTTTTCGTGCAGTCACCACGCAGGTTTGATTCCACTCACTTCGGGAGGCATGTGCACCTGGACTCGGCTTGAGGGCGTGGCGTGTTCCGGGCACGCCCCCGCCCTGCTTTGCCTAGACTGTTGCCTCTCTCGGCCTCCCAGTGGCCAAGGAGGTTCCCAAGACGGCCCAGGGGGCCCCAAGGGGGCCCCAAGTGGCGCACGGAAGGCCCCAAGATGGGCCCCGCGAGCCATTGAGAGAGCCCCCAGGCAGCCAACACCACCGAACAGCGGAAAAGATTGTAGCGAATCTGCTTCCCAGCTCTTCGTCCCAATGTTGCGTCGGGAACGTTGAGGAGCCAGATCCAGGAGCGCTCGAATATACCCCCAGGACGGCTCAGGAGGGCTTCTATGGGCAAGGGGCGCAAGATGGGCCCAATGGGAGCCCCAAGCCAGCCTAAGACAGCTCCCAGAGCCCAGGATGTCATCAAGACCGCAGGAGGTCTCGACAAGGAGTCCACGATGCCCCAAGAGACCCTCAAGAGGCCAGGCGATAGCCGAGTGACCCTGGCTCCAGGAGCTACCACAGGTGATCCGAGACATCGCAGCAGCATCAGCAGAGCCAGCAGCAGCAGAGCCGGCAGCAGCTGGGAGCAGCCAGCAGCAGCCAGGGCCAAGCTCTTTCCGTCCCAGTGTTGGCCATGTGGTGGAAAGCGTGATTTGGGTGCGATTCGTGAGTTGAGCGACGCGCTCAATTTGGCGGTGTCGCCTGCGGTAGCCCAGAGTTCATCAGGCTCCTGTGCGCCCAAATAAGATTTCTCCATTGGGCTCAAGATGGGCCAGTAGGGAGCCAATCTGCTACTATTGTGGCCTCGGAGGGTTCCAGGATGCCTCCCAGACCGTCAAGCAAGCTCCGCGTGAAGCTTCAAGGTGGCTCCAAGGTTATAGTGCATTCTAAGCAAGATAACTTGAACTATTCTGAGCTTATATTGCGTTTTGGGCACGCTCCACTTTTCATCCGACAGTGGTTCCAAGAAGACCCCGCGAGGCTCCCAAAATGGCCCAAGAGGCCCTGCAATAACCTCCCGCAGGGCAAATGACACCCCCCAGGGTGGCCCAGCTGGCCTCCAGCACGGCTCCACGATGGCCCAGCGCCGCCCCAACATGGTCCCAAGACCGTCCTAGATGGCCCCCAGACGACCATGAACAGCAAATGGCCCAGCGAGGCTCCAAGGGACCCCAGCTGGCCCCATGCGAGTTCGCCTCGGTCTGTTTCCGTTTACACCGCGGTCGCTCGCGTTTCCCCTCGGTTACCTCATACTTGCCCAGCTTCGTGCGGGCTATGGGACGTTGTCTGCTGCACCTGGAAGCTGTGGTGTCCAGTTGCTCTTGCAGACCATTTGTTTGAGTTTGCGTTTGGTTGCTTGATGGCACGGTTTCACTGTACCGAGGGATGGTCTCCGCATCGTTTCCACATGTTTTATTCCGGAGTGTGTCGACAGCCAGACGAATTCACGGGAGGTGCCAAGAGGGTCCCCAAAAGTCGAGGAACGGCCCGATAATGTTTTCAAGTAGCTTCACGGGGGGCCCAGGATGTCCTCACGAGAGGACAAACCAGCGACTCGCAACCTTTCAAGGGAACAGCTTTCCGACCCCAGCGAGGTCCAGCGCGCCTGCGGTCCGCCTGGTCGGCACGTATTTTTCATTGGAGCGACCACTACGGGCCTTGGTGGCTAACCGAATTAACATAACTACGACCGCTATGACAATTCATGGTATGTCGGGTAACGTAATTAATTACCATGACAATAGCTACGTACCGTTGATGCTGCGGCTACAACTATTACAACGTACTCCCCCAGTCGTGAATGCACTGGGGTATTCTTCATTGTGCTCTAAACATTTTGCTAGTGCTTCCAGGTTTTCAGACGGTGGGCGCCAATTGCCGCCTCGTGGCCGCATTATGAGCTTGCTGGCGTTTCCCAATATTCGGCAATTGCACGCCCGTGACCGCTTTCGTGACCCGCTCGTGCGCTGGCTGTCGCTTCTGGCAATTCGGCCGGTCGCTTTCCATGGCTGCATCGTGCGTTGGCTGGTACTTCTGGGTGCACACATAGATTCTCTTTTCTATAATGACAATAGACTCTACCCCCCCCGGCGTTATCGGCCCCCCTTTTCGGGCATGTAAATCATTCATGATTCTGACCACATGTCCATCCTAAAAATGAATTTACAGTATCCCAGAGGGGCCGGGATCGCCCCCCCTGAGGTTCCCTTGTAACAAAAATGCGCGGGGACATTTTTTGTTCTAACATAAGACTTTTTTATGGATCCCTTGCAAAAAATTGGACGACGTGCGCACGCGCGCGTCGTCGCGCGCGCGCATGCTGCCGGAAGGATTTCGCAATCGAGGTTCCAAAAAACATGCAAAAAATCGCAACACTGATTTGCTAAAAAAGCTTTCGCGTGAGCTCTTGCGAAATCTTACGAAAACCATAGGTTTTCAAGCTTTTCATAAAATTCAACCAAACGGACTTCGCGCGCGCGCATGTCGAAATCTGTCAAACGCCATTGCGCGAGTGCCGTCGCGAGAATCCTCTGCAAAAAATTGGACGAAGTGCAGACACGCGCGTCGTCGCGCGCGTACGCCAGAAACCTTCAAAACCCATACCGGTTTCGGAAGGATTTCAAAATCGTGTGTCCAAAAAAGCTACAAGAACACAAGGTTTCGCAACACGGATTTTCAACAAAAGCGCACGCGCGCGCTCTTGCGTCGTCGTCGTCGTCGTCGCCGTCCTCCCTCCTCCCGCGTCGTCGTCGCCGTCGTCGTCGCCTACGTCGTCCTCTGTCTTTCCTCATGTGTTCGTCGTCGTCGTCGTCCTCTTTGGCGTCGTGGTCGTTTCCGTCGTCGTTCTCGCCGTGGTCGTCCTTCCTCGTCCTCCCTCGTCGTCGCCGTCGTCCGTCGTCGGCGTCTCGTCGTCGTCCCTCCTATGTCGTCGCCGTCGTCGTCGTCGTTGTCGTCGTGGTCGTCTTCCCTCCTCTCTCGTCGTTGTCGTCGTCGGCATCGCCGTCCTTCCTCCTTCTTCGTCGTTCGCGTCGTCGCCGTCCTCCCTCCTCCCTCGTCGTTGTCGTCGTCGTGGCCGTCGTCGTCCTCCCTCCTCCTTCGTCGTCGTCGTCTTCGTTGGCGGCGTCGTTGTCGCCGTCGTCGTCGTTGTCTTCGTCGTCGTCGGCGTCGGCGTCGTCGTCGGCATCGTCGTCGTCGTCGTCGTCGGCGGCGTTGCCATCGTCGTCGTCGTCGGCGTCGTCGTCGTCGTCGTCGGTGTCGTCGTCGTCGTCGTCGTTGTCGTCGTCGAAGTCGTTGGAGACGTCGTCGGTGTCGTCGTAGTCGGTGTCGGCGGCGCCATCGTCGTCGTTGTCGTTGTCGTCGTCGGTGTCGGTGTCGCGGCCAAGTGCCATGTGGTACCTACCGTCGCGGTCTTGTCTTAAGAGGTCTTGCGACCGGGTGGGAGGGTGGGATGTTTGCACGAGCAGTGGAGAGGACAGCTTCAAGACGGTCAAAGTGAATTTTCCTTTCTAAAAAGACAATGGACTCTACCCCTCCCCGGCGTCATCCGCCCTCCTTTCGGGTATGTAAATCATATGTGATTCTGACCACATGTCCATCCTTAATATGAATTTACACTATCCCGGAGGGGCCGGGATCGACGCCCCTGAGGTCCTCTTGTAAAAAACAGTACCGGGGACATCTTTTGTTCTAACATAAGACTTGTTCGCGAATCCCTTGCAAAAAATGGGACGAAGTGCACACGCGCGCGCCGTCGCGCGCGCATGTCGAAATCCTTCAAAAACCTTTTGTGCTGGAAGGATTTCGCAATCGAGCTCCCAAAAGCATACAACAACACAGGCTTTCGCAACACTGATTTGCTAAAAAAGCTTCCGCGTGAGCTCTTGCGAAATCTTACGAAAACCATAGGTTTTCAAGCTTTTCATAAAATTCAACCAAACGGGCTTCGCGCGCGCATGTCGAAATCTGTCGAACGCCCCTGCGCGTGTGCCGTCGCGAGAATCCTCTGCAAAAAATTGGACGAAGTGCAGACACGCGCGTCGTCGCGCGCGTATGCCGAAAACCATCAAAACCCATACCGGTTTCGGAAGGATTTCAAAATCGTGTGTCCAAAAAACCTACAAAAACACAAGGTTCCAACAAAAGCGTGCGCGCGCGCTCTTGCGTCGTCGTCGTCGTCGTCGTCGCCGTCCTCCCTCCTCCCGCGTCGTCGTCGTCGTCGTCGTCGCCTACGTCGTCCTCTGTCTTTCCTTGTGTTCGTCGTCGTCGTCCTTTTTGGCGTCGTGGTCGTTTCCGTCGTCGTTCTCGCCGTGGTCGTCCTTCCTCCTCCTCCCTCGTCGTCGTCGTCGTCCGTCGTCGGCGTCTCGTCGTCGTCTCTCCTATTTCGTCGCCGTCGTCGTCGCCGTCGTCGTCGTCGTCGTCGTCGTTGTCGTCGTGGTCGTCTTCCCTCCTCCCCCGTCGTTGTCGTCGTCGGCGTCGCCGTCCTTCCTCCTTCTTCGTCGTTCGCGTCGTCACCGTCCTCCCTCCTCCCTCGTCGTTGTCGTCGTTGTCGCCGTCGTCGTCCTCCCTCCTCCCTCGTCATCGTCTTCGTTGGCGACGTCGTCGTCGTCTTCTTCGTCGTCGTCGGCGTCGTCGTCGTCGTCGAAGTCGTCGGAGACGTCGTCGGCGTCGTCGTAATCGTTGTCGTCGGTGTCGTCGTAGTCGGTCTTAAGAGGTTTTGCAAACCAAGTTGCGGGTGGGTGGGTGGGATGTTTGCGAGAGCGTGGATGTGTCAGTTCATGAGTAAAAATCCACTGCGCCACATAGTTTGCACCACATATGCTGGGCCATGTCGATTTCAGCATGTCGTTTGCACCACGTCGGTTGCACCATGCACAGAGTGCACCACAAAGACGTCACATCGAGAATACAGTAACCCACTGTTTGGGCCCCGCGCTGGCAGTCACGAACTCTAGTGTTGCTATATTCTCAAAAAGCAGACACGTACAATTAACTACTGACAGCACGACAGGTTCCTTGTTGGGTGGTCGTGCACTTCAGGCGGCGGGTCGCGAGGACAATGAACAACGAGCTGTATGGGGTGCCGGCGCTGGTCCGCGTGTCCCGAAACTGCACCGTTGAGGCACTGACCAGGGCGGTGCGTGACGAGCTTACGCAGCGGTACGGGTCCAGCGTAGGGAAGCATTGGAGGCTCTTGCAGGCGACCTGCGTGTGGGATGTGACCAGCACTCACGCGCTGATCTGGAACGAGGCCCAGCAGCAGGGCACCGAGCGGCTACTTTGTCCTCCCGAGTATTTTGCCGTCGAGTGGGCCGTGGAAGGGGATCAGATAGAGCCTCCAGAGGTCACCAGCTGCAGTCTGCTAGCGGAGCCAGCTGAAGACGCGGCACCTGATCTGACCCTGAACAGGTGTTCTTAGGGTTGTATCATGAATAACGCACAACACACTTGCAAGACATCGCGACACATCAAACAGTCGAACCACGGTGTTCTGAACACAGGTGTCTTCGGTGGATCACCGAGACGGAGCAGCTGTCCGAGTCGGAAGCGAAGTATCCAGATGCCTACGGCAAGATCCACCACCGTGCCACTGCAGCACTCTTAGTATCAGCCCTTCGAGGGGTTCCCAGAAGCAGGTGACCTGTGGCGCTGATCGTCCGCGGGTTCTGGATGGCCGCTGCATGCGTCAGGCCTCTCCAAAGACTCCGTGAGGTCGCAGCGTGTGGCAGTTGTCTTTCTCATGCCCCGCAGAGCCGAACATGCACGCCCGTTTTTGCTTGAGTCCACGTGGGCCGTAGCGGGAAGCAGCTCGTATCCCCAGCAGAGCGAGTGCCGCTCATGACATGAAGGCCAGGGAGGAGCAGGGACGAGACATGGTAGGCAGGTAGGGCAGGTGGATGGGACATTTTGCTGTGACTGTTGGGGCGTCTTGGGGCCTTCTTGAGGGGTCTTGGAGGCCTCTTGTGGCTCTGAGCGCGCGTTTTGGGGGTCGTCGTAGGGCCTTCTGGAGGCGTCTTGGGAGCCTCTTGGGGGCCGTCTTTGGGCATTCGGGCGCCCTCCGGGGACTGCTGGGCCATCTTGGCGGCTTCTTGTGCCGTCTCTGGCCCGACCCTCTTGGATCTTTTTGGGGATCTTCTTGGGCCGTATGACGTTCTTGGGCCTTTGGGGTCGTCTTGCGACTCTCTTGAGCTATGTCGGGCGCTTGTTGTCCGAACGACGTGGGAAGCAAGGGCAGACATTGACCGCTTGCTCTTTATATGATGTCTGGCCCCTCTCTCGAGGCCTTTTGGAGCCTCGTGGGGTCTCTTCATTCCTATTCGAGGCCTCTTGGGCATCTTGATTTCCTCTTTGTGTTCCGTCGGGGAGGGAGGAGGGAGGAGGGAGGAGGGGAGGAGGGAGGAGGAGGAGGGAGGAGGGAGGAGTGAGGAGGAGGAGGAGGGAGGAGGGAGGAGGGAGGAGGAGGGAGGAGGGAGGAGGGAGGAGGGAGGAGGAGGAGGGAGGAGGGGGGAGGGAGGAGGGCCTCGGGGCATCTAGGGTGGCCTCGAGAAAGAGGAGGTGGTGCCTGCGGAGGGTGCCACGAGGAGGGGAGCGTGCTCCGGAGCCGTCCTCCTCCTCCTCCTCCTCCCTCCTCCTCCTCCTCCTCCTCCTCCCCTCCCCCTCCTCCTCCTCTTCCTCCTCCTCCTGCTCCTCCTCCTCCTCCTCCTGCCGTGCCGACGTGGCACGGTGGCGGACTGCAGCGGCTGCAAGAGCCACCAGCAGTGCTTCCGGGCCATCAGCTTCTGGTCCCTGCCCCCCGTGCTGGTCCTCGGGGGCGGAAAAGAGGGGGGTGATGACTAGGGGGGGGTGGATATCATGGCGGGGGCCATGATATTTCCCCAGATTTCATGGCGCCTCTTCTTGTTTCATTACGTCCCTGGCCCCCCCGCCGGGCCGCGCACATGCCGCTGGTCATGATTTGCACCCCCCCCCTCTTGGACACCCCCCTCTTGGCCGCTCCCGAGGTCCTGCAGCTGAAGCGCTTCGAGTACACCGGCCTGGGCGGCGGCCGCAAGGACACGACGCCAGTGTGCTTCCCCCTGGAGGGCCTCGACCTCCGAGAGTTCGGCTCGTCCGGCATGCCGTCGTTCCCAAGGCTCGAGTCGGGCCCGTCCCCCTCTGCAGGAGGAGTGTGCCTCAAAAGCAGTCCAAACATCGTGTGGGGGCTCTTTCTTTTTTAAGTTTTATTTTGTGAGCACCGTCGGAATCTGTTTTGGGTATCTCTCAGGTTTCGCCCGAACTCTCCCTGTAGGGGGGCAGGCCCGAACAAAAAGTTTTATTTTGTGAGCACCTTTGGAATATGTTCTGAGCATTGGCGGCGCGCAGAGGGGGGTGGGGGGAGGGGGGACGGCTTCTTAGAAGCACCCTGCTTCTTAGAAGGCCTCGGCCTGACGTCTACAGAGAAGGCCCGCGCCTTCTAAGAAGACGGGGTGCTTCTAAGAAGCCTTCCCCCCTCCCCCTGCCCCCTTCCGCGCGTTGCTGCCGAGAGCATCTCTGAGGCTTCGCCCGAGCTCTCCCTGCAAGGGGGGGGCAGGCCCGAACAAAAAGGTTTTATTTTGGGAGCACCTCTGGAATATGTTCTGAGTACTCCAGATTTCGTAGTAAAGGGAGGGGGGTCTCATTTCGGGGGGGGGGTCTCTTCCAGGCTATCTTGCAGGGCCTGGGGGGTCTGGGGACGATGTTTTGGAGGGTTCTCCCACGGGGGAGGTCTGAAATGGCTTGTCTTGGAGGGTCCAGACCCCCTCCCTTTTATTACGAAATCTGCAGTATCTCTCAGGTTTCGCCCGAGCTCTCCCTGCCAGGGGGGGGCAGGCCCGACCCTCCCCCGAGAGGCCGTGCCTGCGCGCGGGCCGGCGCGTGCGGATCGCGGGCCTCCAGGCCGCCGCGAGCCAGGCGCTCAACGGGCGGCTGGGCACGGTGATGTACCTCGACGGCGCCAGGGCCCGGTTCGCGGTGCGCCTGAACGAGGACGCGACGTCCTCCTCCGCGAGCGCCTCCTCGGCCGCCTCCCCCTCCCTTTTTCCGCTCCTCGCCAGTCCGCTCGCACCCTGCAGCTCTCCTGCGACAGTTGAACCGCCGCAGGGGCGCTGCGCAAATGTCCCCGCGGCTCCCCCTGGCGAGGCCCGCCAGCAGTCCGCGCGCGCCGCGGGGCCCTGTTCGTCCGGGCTTGGCGTCAAGTCGGGCGCGTCCCTCCACAGGGGTAACGTTAAAACGACGCGAAGATCGGGACTAAATCGGATCGGGGTAGCTCGAAAAATCTCTGAGAAGCGGCGGGTTTGGAGGATGTGCTGGGCGCCGCGGCCGCTCCAGAGCGTTTTCCGGAGCGCTCTGAGAGCGCTTCGGAACGCTCTGGAGCGATTTATCCCGATCCTAGCCCTGTTTTAGCAGCTCCCGGGAGGTCGAATTCTGATCTTGCGCGGATCCGTAATCCGGCCTGATCCCGCTGAATCTGGCTTTCTCCGGCTCGATCCGGCTCGATCCCGCCTAGTCCGAGGCCCACTCCAGCGCAACAGGCCCCCCCAATGGGGCTTAATCCTCCTCGGTCCTTCCGACGAAGACCTCCCAGTAGTTGCCTCCTAAGTCTGCATGCGCTCTGAGAGTGCTTGCGGATTCCTGGGTTCACGCGGACATCGTCTGGACGTGGGGCGCAAGTGTGCCGTCGAGTTCGGCAGGCCCCACGGTTCCAGGGTTCCTGGTTCCCGGTGTTCTCGTCTGGTGGCCAGGCTTTGGGGGCTTGCGGGTGTACGGATATAGTAGCGAAATCCGGGAAGATGGTGGAGAGCAGGGGGTCTAGCGCAACGAGAGCAGAGCAGAGGCAAGGGCAGGGAGCAGAGAGCACAGAGCTGCGAACGAAATCAGCTCGAGGCGTCCTGGCTCAAAACGGAAAGTCGCCACCGTGGCGGTCCAGGAGCGACCGAGGCACCGCACGCGTTCCACACCACGCTCAAGCCACGGGCCCCCTCGCAGCACTTCTCCATCTCGAGCCCGCTGGGCCGCACTGGCCCTCCTTTCAGAGGCTTTTTTCCCCCACTGTTACTGTCAACGAGTTGTGAGCACACAAGAAATCATGATGTCCGCCTGGGCCCCCGCCGCCGTTGTCGCACAACAGAACAAAAGCACGTTGCCACAAGTTTTTGTTGGTAAGTACTATGTGTTAAGTTTGTTATTCCCCACATCCTGAGTGGGGTTCTTGTTTTCCCGGAACACCCTCTCCTTCTCCTTCTCCTCCTCCCTCCTTCCACTACACCATACTAAACTATACCATACCAAACTATACCAAACTAAACTATACCATACCACACCATACTAAACTATACCAAACTACACCATACCATACCATACTAAACTATACCGTGCTAAACTGTACCATACCATAACATACCATACTAGGCTATACCATACCATACCATACCAATACCAATATCATACTAAAATATACAAACTTAACTATACCATACCATAACATACTAAACTATACCATAATATACCATACCACAACATACCATACTAAACTATACCATATCGTACCATATCATCCATACCAATACCAATACCATACTATACTAGGCTATACCATACCATACCATACCAATACCAATATCATACTAAACTATACCAAACTTACTATACCTTACCATACCATCCCGTACCATGTCATACCATACCCACCATGCCATACAATACCTACAGTACATACCACACCTTACCATACCATACCGTACCATGCCATACCATACCTACCATACCATACTATACCTACCGCACATGTCATACCATACCACACCATACGTACCACACCATACCATACCGTACCACACCATACCACAGATTTCGTGCCCCTGCCACCCCTCCCGGGAGGCCAGAGCGAGGAGGGTATCGGCACGCCACCGGGAGGCCAGAGCGAGAAGGGTATCGGCACACCATAATATTTATCAGGTTACGCGCCCCTCCCACCCCTCCAGGGAGGCCCCGCCAGAGCGAGGAGGGTATCGGCATACCATACTATTTACCAGGTTTCGTGCCCCTCCTACCCCTCCAGGGAGGCCCCGCCTGAGCGAGGAGGGTATCGGCATACCATACTATTTACAAGGTTTCGTGCCCCTCCCGCCCCTCCAGGGAGGCCCCGCCTGAGCGAGGAGGGTATCGGCATACCATACTATTTACCAGGTTTCGTGCCCCTCCTACCCCTCCAGGGAGGCCCCGCCTGAGCGAGGAGGGTATCGGCATACCATACGATTTACCAGGTTTCGTGCCCCTCCCGCCCCTCCAGGGAGGCCCCGCCTGAGCGAGGAGGGCATCGGCATATCATACAATTTACCAGGTTTCGTGCCCCTCCCGCCTCTCCAGGGAGGCCCCGCCTGAACGAGGAGGGTATCGGCATACCATACTATTTACACGGCTTTGTGCCCCTCCCACCCCTCCAGGGAGGCCCCGCCTGAGCGAGGAGGGCATCGGCATACCATACTATTTACCAAGTTTCGTACCCCTCCTACCCCTCCAGGGAGGACCCGCTTGAGCGAGGAGGATATCGGCAAACCATACTATTTACCAGGTTTCGTGGCCCTCCCGCCCCTCCAGGGAGGCCCCGCCAGAGCGAGGAGGGTATCGGCATACCAAACTATTTACCAGGTTTCGTGCCCCTCCCGCCCCTCCAGGGAGGCCCCGCCAGAGCGAGGAGGGTATCGGCATACCATACTATTTACAAGGTTTCGTGCCCCTCCCTGCCCCTCCAGGGAGGACCCGCCTGAGCGAGGAGGGTATCGGCATACCATAGTATTTACCAGGTTTCGTGGCCCTCCCGCCCCTCCAGGGAGGCCCCGCCTGAGCGAGGAGGGTATCGGCATACATAATATTTACACGGTTGTGTGCCCCTCCCGCCCTTCCAGGGACGCCCCGCTTGAGCGGGGAGGGTATCGGCATACCATACTATTTACAAGGTTTCGTGCCCCTCCCGTCGCTCCAGGGAGGCCCCGCCTGAGTGAGGAGGGTGTCGGCATACCATACTATTTACCATGTTTCGTGCCCCTCCCGCCCCTCCAGGGAGGCCCCGCCTGAGCGAGGAGGGTATCGGCAGATCATACTATTTACACGGTTGTTCAGACACACCACAAGGTGACCCCGCCCGACGCAGCGTTGTGGGCGCAGTTCATGAACAAGACGTTGGCGATCGCGAAGGGCCCGCCGCTGAACTTCGGCCACTCCATTACGCCAATGAAGCGCAAGCGCGCGCTCGCTGGACGAGGCCGCTGGCCCCTCCGCGGCTGCGGACATGACAGTCCGCAGCCGCGGGCTGGTCGAGGGGTGAGCTGCGTCCGCCCACCGCTGGTCGCCCCCGCTGCTTCGGTCTGCTGTTGTAGCGGCGCTTGCGTTGCAGCAGGTGGAGGTGACTTGGAATCGTACTACAATTGGTCTTCACTGCAGTGGCTGCGATTAAATAGCACTCCGCGTGGGCTTAAGAGAAGCCCCCCCCACGCGTCGGCCCGAGTACAGTCAGGCTAGTAGGTTAACGCCGTGTGCACAAAACCATAATGCAGCGATACATTGTTTGGGAGATGATTGGCAGTCTTTTAAACCGCTCTTGGCCGATCAGTGTCTGCGTTCGAATTGTAGTTACCAGACACCTCGGCAAGTGCTTTCGTCTAGCGAACTCGTGTCGCCCACCCTCTTGTATAACCTCGACTGGACGAGGGAAATGAGACCACTCAGACCAACCTCACGAATCGGACCTCGCGAGGAAAATGAGACCACTCAAACCAACCTCCCGCTGCTGCTCCTGCTGCGGTTCCTGCTGCTGCTCTTCGCCATCATCCATCTATCCTGTTCCTCCTCCTCCTCCTCCTCCTCCTCCTTCTCCTCCTCCTCCTCCTCCTCCTCCTCCTCCTCCTCCTCCTCTTCCTGGAGGGTATCGGAAAACATGCTGTTTACACGGTTTCGTGTCCCCCCTCCACTCCTCCAGAGAGGCCGCGTTTGAACGAGGAGGGTCGCGGAAAGCACTACTCTTCGCCAGGTTTCGTAGCCCTCCCCCCTTCCAGCGGGGCCCCGCCAAAACGAGGGCGGCATCAAGAAAATGGGTCCCACGAGACCGTGAATCTCTTTATGTGGGGAATTCCGCTAGCATAATCTTATAGTTATACATAACTATAAGGCAACTAGCTCCTTCAAAGCAACCGTGTGAATTTCCCGCTTCCAATCCTTGCCGCATGGCGGGACGCTGCCAGGCCCCACGTGCCCCGCGGCGCCCAGGGCTCGAGCGCCGCGCCCCCGCCCGTCTCCCCGCTCTCTCTGGGCCACGGCCGCCGCCCGGCACCCCTCCGGCAGGAGACCGCCCCCGCGGTGCCCGTGGCCTGCCTCGAGGCTGTTTTCGAGCGTCCGAGGAGTCCAGGAGGAAAAGGTACCCATATCTCTATCCTTCCCTCGCCTTCCCCCTCTGGGGCCTCCCAGGAGCCCCTCGTCGCCACCGCCGGCGTCGCGTCGAAGCTCTTGTCAGGACGCACCCCAGGAGAGGTCCGGGGAGTGGCGGTATCGGTACCCTCTGGTGTCCCCAGAGAAGGGTGTGCCGCGTGGGCCCTCCTCCTGCCAGGAGCCCACTCCCACGCTCCGCTTGCCCTGGACGGCCCGCCCTGTCCCTGGTTGCGTCGCGTGCCCCGGCCCCGGGCCGACTTCTGCTGCTCCGCCCCCCCTCTGCTTCCTCGCCCCTGCCCTGGCCTGGCCCGCGTATGGCTGCCTTTTGGCGCTCTGCCTCCTTGGCGCCCGCCCCGCACGGCCGCGCTGGCTCGCCTCCCGGCGGCTGCTCCAGCGCGAGGAGGAGGGAGGAGAGAGGAGGGAGGAGGAGGACGTGGAGGTGGAGGAGGAGGAGGAGGAGGAGGAGGAGGAGGAGGAGGAGGAGGAGGAGGAGGCGGGCCCCCGAGGCCCAGCGAGGGCCCCCGGAGGCGCTGGCCTGGCCGGCCCGCCGCCGCGCGCCCCCGCTG